TCGAACCTGAATAGAGATGTGTCGTTCGCGAACGAACGGATCTTATTGAACGGGCCAAAGTAGTGAACGATATGATCGCCGAATCGAGGTGATCCCCATCACCTGATATTTTTTTTTCGTATTGGTTCTTGGTTCGCAATGTCTCCCCGATTCCCGAAGACCCGAATCCTATAATAGATGTTTGGTAGAATCGTATCAAAATTAATAAATAACACGATTTGTTATGATTCAAAAGAGCCGGGCTGCGGCCTAATATTTTAACAAAATCAAAACAGAAAGTAAATAAATGTAGAGGGCACATTTGGTGCTGGCTAGCAGAAGGGGTGTTAAATTGATATTACGGCTAACACAATAAATATTTAATAATACAAATAAATATATATAAAAACCGTGACGGCGGCTGCAGTCCCGGGTGACGGTGATGGTAGTCGGTGAGTAGTGGACAGCTGAACCATATAAAGGTGATGATAGACAGTAACGATAGACGGTAACGGTACTACGGTAGAGAGTGAACGGAAAAATGTGATACGAATATAGGACGGTCGAACTCGGAGTAATGACTGACTGGTTACACACGTACATTTTACGGTATATAATACGGACGGTGTCTTAACGCTTATCAAACATACCGCCCACCTTGAAGACCCGGTCTTCAATCAGAGAGGTTTAAAGGACACAGTTTCACGGAGGGCCGAGTGTAGATTTTTCCCGTAGACGTCATTACTTTGGCCACTCGGATGATCCCATCAACTCCTGGATGAACATCGACCACTTGGGCTGTAGGCCAGGTCAGAGGGGCACTTGGTTCGTTCACTAATACCAGGTCTCCCACTTGGAGGTTGGGATTAGAGCGGATCCATTTAGATCTTTCGTGCAGGGACTGTATGTATTCTTTCTGCCACCGGATCCAAAAATGTTAGTGAATTTGTTGTATTAATGACCAGCATTTACTTCTACTTATCCTGCTAAGTTCAATCCGATCGTGAGGTGCAGAAACGGATACCAATGGTGCCATAGTTAGATAGTGTCCTGCCGTGAGGGCTTGGAAATCGCTCGGGTCGGACGACATGGAACTAAGAGGGCGAGAATTGAGGGTGGCCTCGACTCGATGCAGTACGGTGTTAAGTTCTTCATACGTCAGGACCCTGTCTTGAATAATTCGTAGTAAAAGGGTTTTCGTTGATTTTACGGCAGCCTCCCATAAACCACCCATGTGAGGGGAGGCTGGAGGGTTGAGGTGCCAGCGGATTTGATTATCTACCGCATTTTCCACACAGCGAGGTCCTTTCAGTATGGAGTACACTTCTTGTAAATATCGGTTCGTTCCTATGAAATTCGTTCCGCAATCGCTATAAATGTCTGTGCATCTCCCTCTTCATCCAATAAACCGATCAAGTGCAGCTATAAGCAATGGAGTTGATAGATCAGAAACTAGTTTAATGTGAACTGCGGTTGTTACCATACATACAAAAATACAGATGTACGCCTTTGTGACCTTTATTTTTCGGATCATTGCTGCTTTTACCTGGAAGGGTCCAGCAAAATCTACTCCGGTTCTACTAAATGGCTTTATTTGGGAAATGCGAAAAGACGGTAGGTTTCCCATAATAGGTTGGGCCGGGCGAGGTTTTGCGCGGAAGCACGGTATGCATCGATGAATTCTTTGTTTGATGACACCTCGGGATGACAGGATCCAATAATTTTGACGTAGTAAATATTGTACCGTTTGTGGTCCTGGATGTCCATTTTTCCGGTGAGTAGAGTCGATTAGGAGCTCAGTCAATCGCGCAGACTTTGGCAACAGTAAGGGATGTTTTTCATTGTAAGGAATTTCGGCATATCCTAAACGACCGCCCACCCTCAGCACGTGGTCGTCGTCCAGAAATGGTGTTAATTTTCTCAAATGCTTCCGAGCTGGTTTTCCCATGGAGAGCTCTTTTTTCTCGTCGAAAAAATATATGTTTTGAGTCCAGCGTACTAAGGAGCGAAGTGCTCTATCCGTTTCGTCTGTAGTAGGTGGAGAAGTGATCGGTAAGACCGGTTTTTTTTTTCCAAGACGATCTCGAAGTCTTAACCAATAGACGGTGAGTCTTAAAACTTTTGGTAAATTATCTGATTGATAAAGAAGCCGACAGTCTACCTCTTTTTCGCGGGACAAAAGCGTAATAGGTTTTTCTTCATTTTCTTCCTCTGAATAACTAATAGGATTCACCGTGCTTTCCACAGGCCATTCTCTTTTAGGTTGTCGGAGAAACGGAGGACCATGCCACCATATGTCGTGGGCGGCTAAAAGGTCGGGTCTGAGCCCACGGGATGCGCAGTCCGTTGGGTTGTCCTTGGTTGGTACGTGACGCCAATTCTCCACATGAGTTTGTTCTTGAATTTTGGATACTCGATTTGCTACGAATGTTTTTAGTCGTGAGGTCGAACTTCTTATCCAATGTAGCGTTACCGTGGAGTCAGACCATGCGGTAACTCTTTCTATATTGATTGCGGATAAGTTATCTTGCGCAAATGCGAGAAGACGGGCTATTAACCAAACACCACATAACTCTAGTCTCGGAACAGATATCTTCTTAGCTGGTGCTATCCATTTTCCCATCAAGAGATGACACTTTACTTCTGTGCCAGTATCAGTTCTTAGATACACGGCCGCCGCATACGCTGCTTCAGAGGCATCACTAAATCCGTGTAACTCGTAGATAGCATTGGGATGGGTAACCATGCGAGGAATTTGCAAGGTAGCTAGAACGGGTAACTCTCGGTGGTATTGGATCCAAGAGGTCATTGCTTCTTCCGGTATTGTTTCATCCCAATTTACCCCAACCAACCAGAGGTATTTCATTAATCTTTTTAAATCCGTGGTAACAGGAGTGAGAAGACCGAGAGGATCATAGATACGCGCGATTTCTGATAGTATTGCTCGTTTGCTGAATTTTACTGGACAGGGTTGATATTGGTAGCTGAGTGAGTCCACTTTCGGGTCCCATTTTAAACCGAGAACTTTTGTGCAGTAGGAATCACGTTCGTCAAAAGTAATTGGAAGTAGTTGTCGGTGTTCTAGCGGAATATGGGTCAACAGTTGCTCAGAGTTGCTTGACCATTTTCGCAGTTCGAACTTACCCTTTTCGAATAATGTGATTGGGTTTTGTGTCAATTCGAGCGCTTCATTTAGAGTGCCTTTACCGGTTACTATGTCATCGACATAGAGATCCTGATGAACGATAGCTTTTAATTTTTCATCGTTAGACGCTTCATCGTCGACCAATTTATGTAACGTACGAATCGCAATAAATGGCGAACATTTTTGACCAAAGGTGACTCTATTCATTTCATATTCCTGCACAGGCTCGTCTGGGTTGAATCTATATAACAATCGCTGATAGGGACGATGGGTTTCAGTTACAACTATTTGACGAAACATCTTTTTTATATCTGCAGTAAACACAGTGGGATGTAGACGAAACCGCAAAATGATCCCGGGTAAGTCTTGTTGAAGCTTCTTTCCGCAATAGAGGTTATCGTTCAATGACTTCCCAGAAGATGTTTTTGCCGAGGCATCAAAAACGATTCACATTTTTGTGGTTGTGCTATCAGGCCGTATAACTACATGATGTGGAATGTAATAAGTGTTCTGTTCATTTGTAAGGGTTTGATTTAATTTGATCATATGGGTGGTATCTAGGTAATCCCTCATTTCTTTGTTATACTCCTCACGCAAAACAGGATTTTTTGCAAATCGGTTTTCTAAATGATATAAACGGTTCAAGGCTTGATCTATTGACTGTCCAAGTTGTGGAGGATTTTCCCGGAAGAGTAAATGGACTACGTACCTACCGTCTTTTTGACGCGTTGTGGTTGACTGGTAGATTCGCTCACACTCTAAATCCGCTGGGCAACCTTTTTCGACATTTGGAACTTCTTCCACTTCAAAAAAGCGTTTTAAGGTTTGGTTAACGGATTCCAGTGTTGAACACATTGTGACAATCTTATTTTTCGTAGCGCATGAGGTTCTTCCCATTAATACCCATCCAAAAACTGTGGATAAAGCGATTGGTTGACCGGTGGTACCGACTCTTTTATTCCCTAAGATGAGTTGTGGGAACACATCTGCTCCTAATAGAATGTCGACAGGGAGTGGTTTGTTGTAATCAGGGTCTGCTAAATTTAACCCAACGGTATGTGGCCAATATTCTGTGAAAACGCGTTCTGATGGTATAGGACCGGTTATGCGGGGTAATATTAAAGCGTTAACATTAAATTGGGGATTTTCGAGACCTACTGGCCGTACGTTAATGGTAGTACTTCCTTTAACGACTGGAACCTGGGTACCGGCCAGAGCTTGTACCACAATATCTCGACTTTCTCGCTGAAGTCCCAGCAGATGCACACAGCGTTCTGTCACGAAACTGCTTTGGCTAGCACTGTCTAATAACGCTCTTACGTTAACGGAGTACCCATGTCTCGTTTGCACAGCCACGGTAGCCGTTGCCAAAAGGACTGATGTACGAACACTGTTTGTTGCGGTAGCTGCGAACGTGACGGGCTCGACCGTAACGGGTTTTTCGGTGTTTGAAAGATGTAACATAGTGTGGTGCTTTCCACCGCAATCTTTACAAGTTTTAGGGTTTTTGCAGTCTACTACTCTATGCGCACTGAAGCATCGGAAACACCTGTTCAACTCTTTGATGGTTTTATGACGTTCGATCGGTGTTTTCTCCTTAAATAATGGACAGTTTATGAGTAAGTGTCCCGGTTGTACTTTGCACACTTGACAGGTAAACGATTGTTTTTCTCCCCAGCTTTCATTCTTCGATGTTTGTTGTGCCGTGTGTTGTTGACCCGGTTGGTTCGTGAGCAAGGTTGTTGTTTTATTCTTCTTGAAGGGTTTTTGTAGATGGTGACTTTCAGTGACGGTCGCGGACTTACAATATTTTGTTAGAAAAGTGGTAATTTCTACGACAGTCGGATCTTCCGTAGTATCTACCAACAGTTCCCACTGGGATCGAAGATATGAATCCAATTTTTTCTGTAAAAGGTGCAAAAGAATTGGATCCCATTGATCCACCGCAAATGATAAGTTTTGTAGGGCTCCAGTAGTTTCAATAATATTGTTAAATAGCTTTCTTATAGAATTCCCGTCACCGAAGAACGCTTTTGGTGCATTAAATATTTGTTCCAGATGATGTTCTGCAATCACTTGAAGGTTTTAATATCGGGAGGTTAATTGTGACAGGGCTAGTGTATAATTACTATCTGTTAACATAAGGTTGCCGATAAGTTTCAACGGCTCTCCTTTTAAACGTGATTTCAAATATCCAAACTTTAAGACTGGTGGCATATTGGTGTTATCTACTATTATATCAAACATGTTCCGAAAACTGGTGTATTCAATTGGATTTCCGTCAAATATAGGAATAGATAGTTTTTCTACAGGGAAATAAGCACTTGTGGTGGCGGTAGATTTCTGTTCCATAAACGTCTTATTCAAAGATGCGTCGGCGGTGGCTACAGGTAGATATTCGTCGGCAAATATTTTACTACCTACAAATTCGAAAAGAATTACATGGTATACGAAAAATATCTTAGTAAATTATGGATGATTAGGCCAAGTGTTATATTGTTGTATTTTGTGTATTTGAAATGTA